CAAACACTCTGTGTAACTTTGTAATTTTTTCCCAGTACTTTGATTTCCTTTTCCAGTTTTCAACTTGCACAAAAGCCTCTATCCTGTGGTCAATTTGGAAAGTGTATAGCCAATTGCCACAGAAAATCAACTTGGTCTTTCAGAGAAAGAAAAAAAAAAAAAACAACAAAAAAAAACCCTAACCAACCGAAAACTATACGAAAAGCAAGTGATTTGGGATTGGGTGGTATCCTAGAAAGTGACTCTGGATTTTTCTCTGCTCCACTTCACTGTATCTTCTTGAAACCACAGGGAAGCAAAATTGAAGACATCACACAAGTACGTTTTCCAGTTGATCTGTAAGGAGCTTACGTACCAACTGCCTGAATTTCATGGGATACAGGTTGAAATCTGATTTTCTAAACAATCCAACCCTACTCCCAGGAAATGGGATTTTTCCTCATATTTTCCTTCATCATGCAACTGCAGGACAACGTGTAATTCTAAGACAGTGAGTGAATTTACATTAGTGAACACAGTTCATACCAGGAGTACACTTTTGAAACAGTCTTCCTGATCGTTCCCACTTGTTGCTCTTTGGTTTCCACTGCAGAGCAGCTTCTGTGTGACCAATCATCCTCAGCACCAGCTCTGCTGATCTACTTCTACTGGACCCCTCTTTAAGTCTGGTATATTATTCTGGTATCTCTTCAGGACTAATATATTACTTTGAGGCACTGCTCTGTGAAAGGAGGTCAGTACTCTTCAAGCAGAGGACAGAGATTCCTTATAATTCCAGGTGTATACTGCTGTTCACTTGCCCAGGACCAAAATTTCTCCCTCAGTTTCTGGGTTGACTCCAAGCAGTGGTTATCTTCCTCTCAAGTGGGATGCATATTCAGAGAAAAGAGACTACAGGGAAAGCATTTGGGTCATTTGACAGAAATTACTGAATAAAAATTGAAAATATTAAAAAAAATATAATAATACCAAAAATGTAATGTCTCAACACCCACAGAAACAGCAGCAGAACAACATGCTGTCTTAAAATACATTCAAGACTCTGATTTACACCTGCAATCCATACAGTTGGTCCAAATAATATATTCACTAATTTGTCCATTAGTTCCAGAAAACTATACCATTCCCTTCCCTGTTACTCTCTGCCAATTATTCCTACTTAATTTGTAATCCTCCGGACTGCCACTCCATCAGTTTCACAGAAAACAAAAAAATAATTTGCCCCAACATAGCAAAGAAAGTTACCCTTAAGTACCAGGGTCCAGAGGAAAGTAAAAAACCTCTGCATAACAATAATCAGAAAAGGATATAGTACTCAGAAACAAAAGAATGTATTTCTTATTACTCTCCTGGACATGAGGTCCCCCAGTCCCACAGGATAGCCCCCCAGCTTTATCCTTCATGGTTTAAAAGCCCAATATACTTATACTTGGCAGTATATTACTCCATATTTAATATTCAGCCTAAATGTCTTGGAATCCAAAGACATGCCACAGCGCCGAGCAATATCTGTATGTTTTATTTTTGGCTAAAATGAAAAGGCATCAAACATAAGCTTCGTAAGTTGCTATGCTGTCCACATGACAACCATGGTATTGCAAACTGCATGTGCTATTGCCAAGAAAAATACATACTGTAGAGACAAAAGTCCCATGCACACGGACAGACATGAAGTATAGCGGAGCACTTGCATGCTTATCGCCGTAGGAAAGAGCAGGGCATTTCCAGCCTTGTTGCCACTCGGACACTCAGACAAGCTCTGCTCCATCTCACAGCAGAGAGACTGAGACGTGAGCACGGCGCCCTGCTCCACTCCAGCTACTGGCACCCGCCACCTCCGCTGCAGAACAGACCTGAGAAAATATCTCCACCCCTCTGTTCTCACGCTGCCTTCCTGCTCCAACCCCAGCTCCAAGCTTTGTGCCAGAACAGCACAAAGTGTTTGCTCAGCCATACATTCTGACACCTCAGCTACACAGGAGAAAACCTTTGGCAGATAAATAGAGAAAGGAGTTAAGGATAGATATATCCTGTCCATCATGGGGAAAAGGTTAGAGAAACTCAAATCCTTGAACAGATGCTTGCCAGAAAATCAATTTTAAAAAGCCTGCAGCCTCCAAACTATGGCACCATCCAGCTTCTACCTTAGGGATGCATCTATGCTAGCATTTTCTGCATTGCAGGCTTCACTTTAGGTTTAAATTTGTTTTGCACCCATACTTGGATTCTTGCAATATCGCTTCAAGCTCAGGTGCAGTCAAAGCACTTTGCCTCCTGGTGAACAGAAGTTCAAGTCATGCATTAGAGCAGCATGTGTCTCACCCCACCTGTGACGGTGGCACAAGGCTCTCCTGTGGTTAACGCTCTACACATCCAAGGCACACGCCTATGCCCAGCAACTGGTGGAAACGCTGGTCCTGGAGCCCAACAGGTCACTGCAAATCAAACCTGGATTCCTTCCTCTTTGTGCCACGTCAGCCAGTACCACGCAGCCTAAGTTTCCACAGGCAACTCACCTCAGAGTCCTGCTGTCATACTGCTGAAGTTGAACAGGCTTTTTGGTCTTTTATCTCTGCCCCAAAACAATTCTAAAACGCCATTAATTAACAGATCTTTACCAAGGACTGGAACTTGCACACAGCTTCAAACTTTCACCAAAGAAAACATCAGTAAGTCAGAAAACAATCTCCAAGGACTGTACATACTAGTATTAAGGAATTCAGTGAGGAAAATCCAGTGTTCAAAAGTCTATAACCAAAGTTATAGATGGTGCAGAACTGATCACTTTAATAATCTGGCATCATCCCATAGCCTCACTAATTTTCTTCACCCACTACAATGTCTAAATAGGAAAATCAAACAGGCATTTGCAGTCAGAGACCCTGTAGGTAGAATGAGGCAGAAAACTTCATGCTGTGCTTACACTGTCGAGTCCCTGATCCTCTCACTGCAAACATCGCAAGCTGATTAATTCAGAGGTACACTGAAAAAAATAGTATATGATCATATTAAAGCACAAAGATCCCACTGAAATAGATGTGTGTAGCTGTCCAGCAAACATTCCTGTCTTCTTTGCATGTTGTTGCCTTTCTGTATGTTCATGAACACAAACAGTAAGTTTGGCTGCCACACACGTGCTTGTGCACACACACGTGCTCGTGCACACACACGTGCTCGTGCACACACATGTGCTTGTGCACACACACGCACTCGTGCACACACATGCGCTCTCGCTCCATTTGTGCAGCCCTGGATATATCTGCAAGTGAACCAATATTCCAAATCAGCTCAACGTAAATGAACTTCTGCAGTGTGTATTTGTTCAATCAGGCAGATATGTCAGCCTTAAATGCCCGTATTTATATTTATACCTCTGTGATATGAATTATGCATATGCATATATTAGTAAGTTCTCTGTCTTTCTCTTCTATTAAGATTTGGGCTTGTCCCTTGGGAACTCATTATCTACAGTGAGTTTCACAAGGGCTTGATGTGACCCTACCAGAATTATTGTATTGTACTTTCCCAGAAAGACTCTGATACGTTTCCCAGACACCCACAGTTCAATTCGGTGTTGACTATTTAATCATCTAATAGCAGTGAGCATTTTTCCCACCAAGCCAAAACAGCGAAATTGAACTATCAGAAATATATATATTTTTTTTTTTTTTTTCCAGAGGCGGATAGAGCTATTAAACTAGCACTTGCACAGGTACTACTGGAAAAATTTCAGCGTTGTTACTTCCCCCTGGCAATCTGCTTCAACTCACTTCCCTGGTTCCAAAGCAGGTTTTGGTTTTCCCTTTTTTTGACCGCCTCGGGACGGCAGCTTTGCGCTGACGGGGGGGACGGGAAGCATCTCCCACAGGCCGTGCACCCACGGGCGCCCCGGCTGGCGGCTCCACGGCGGGGAGGCAGCCTGGGCACCGCCACCCCTCGCGCCTCGCCGCACCGGGGCCGCGGCCTTGCCGTGGGCCCCAACCCCACGCCAGGCCGTGCCGGCAGCGCCCGCGGCGCGGCCTTCCTGCCTTCCCCACGGCCGGGCCCTACCGCCCGGCAGCCGCTGGGGACGAGGCGCCGCTGGCAGGTGGGTTATTTCCCCCCACTCCCACGCCGCGTGGCACCCCCGGGGGAATTTCTTCTCTTTCGCGAAGTCGCCCGGGCCGGGCCGGGGGAGGCTGAGGCGGCCCCTGCGCGGGGCCTCGGCGCCCTCTCCCGGCCGCCATTCTGCGGAGACGCTGAATTGCTGCCCAGAACCTTCACGTTAAACGAGAATACGGCGTTCTGAGGGGAAAAACACTGTATGGGTCGTGATGAATTGGGTAAACACTGTTTTGTCCCTGTGACTCTTCTGGCAAGTCCATCGGCAAACCAGAGCCTTGCCATGTCACAAGAATCCCATCACCTGCCAACAGGCACTTTGTAAAGTTAATTCTATGTGCCAGTTAACACGTAAGCACAAAATTGTCTCTCAGATTAATACTTAGCAAAAAGACTTCTTAAAGTGTGGGGGGGGTTTGTTTGTTTGTTTGTTTGTTTGTTTTCACTTCACCTGGTTAAACTACTTGGAACTGTCAGCCAAAAATTTAAGAGACTATCATGACTACACAAACTAGAATGAGGATTTCGGTTTCCACGAACCGCGGTGGGGCCGCGCTGCGGGGCAGGTGCGGGCGGGGGTTTGGCGGCGGCCCGGGCTTGAGGAGGTTTCCTTCCCCCCTCCCCAAAAAGGAGCGGGAGGGGGGCGGAGGGGGCTCCGCGCAGCGCTGGAGGGGCCGCGGCGAGAGGACCCCAAACCCCCGCAGAGCCGCCGCGTTCCGCCGCCGGTCAAGGCGGGCAGGGTGAGCCCTGCGGCGGGCGCTGCTGCGGGACGGAGCCCCACGGGAAGCCTCTCCCCGTGGTATTTCGGTGGTGGTGGTGGGGGGGGTATAAGCATCACACCCACCGCACCCGCGCCCCGCTCAGGAGCGCTTTTTTTTTTTCAGCCTGGGCTTCCAGCTCGCCTGTGCTCCGGAGGGAGGGCGGGGAAGGAGCCCCGCTCCCCCCCGTGAGGCACACGGACACGGACACGCACACGCAAGCAGCCCCCGGCGCGGGGGGCTGAGCGGGCGGCGGCCCCGGCTGCGTCAGCGCTGTGCAAACACCGGCCGCGGCGCCCGCCGCTATTTAAGGGGCCGCGGCGGAGACTCCCCCCAACTCTCCCCGCCTGGGCGCACACCGGCCGCGCTCCCTCCTCGGCTCCGACCGCGGGAAAGCGCAGCGGGAAGGTAAGGCAGCGCCCCTCACCCCTCCTCGGGCTGCGCCTCCGCGGGGCGGGGGGGGGGGGCGCGGAACCGGGGGGTCCCGGCGCTGCCAGGCGCGGAGGGGATCCCGCCCTTGGCTGGGGGAGACGCGGCGGGGAGGGAAGGGGAGGTGGGGCGGCGGGGGGTGCCGGGCTGCGGGGTGGGCGAGGCGGGAAAAGAGCGAGTGCCCGCTCGTGTTCGGGGTCCCCAGCACGGACGCGAATAGACGGGTACGCCCAGGAGTGAAAATTCGGGGCACCGGGCCGGTTGAGAAGGTACCTGTGCGGAAAGGAGGCAGCGCACCTTCGGTGTCTTAAGCGCCGAAAAGCTACAGGGTTACATCTCTAATAACCGTGCTGGAGTGGCATTTTGACGGTTTTTTCCTTCATCTAACGATAGGAAAAGCCCCGTGTTTTATGCGTCGCAGATGTTTTCAACCTAGTCTGTGTGGTGGGCACATTTTCTCGCCTTTTAAAATTAAAAGGGTATGTTCAGTATACTGTTCAGAAACTTAAGCGATTAAAAAATTCTCATATAGCGGAGATAATTCATGTATATTTATAAATGGAAATTACCCCTATAGCATTAATACTAGGTAGCTTGTTTCTCCTAATAACTGAGCAGAGTTTCTCTGTTTCCAGAAAAAACACTATTTCAGTTGATATGATCAAACAACCTAATAAAGCAGCATCATTTTGTCTAGTACTTAAGGAAGCAGGAAAAAAATTGTTACGTTTGAGTTCTGTTTTGTATGAAGAAGAATATTGTTAAGTTGCACATTATTTCTTACAGCTTTTAACAGCTTTTTTCACCTCAGCTACGAGATGAAATGCTTGGGGGAGTGTTAGATTTTGTTTTTTCTTTCTATGTCTGATGAGACGAAACATCTTGAACAGTAAAGTTCAAACCAATGAAGGTTGATAGAATAAAGGCTTTTCATAGAACTTGCCAAAACTGAGTATTTGTAATAACAGCAGTTTTTAGTACAACAGCAAAATACGGAAATGTTTGAATCCTGAGTTTTTTTCACAGAGCTGGATTCATCTCCCTTAAGTTTTAATGAAATACAGCTTCCAAAAAAAAAAAAAAAAAAGCAAGTAACAGCTGAGTAGATCATGGAGACATAGCACATACTACAGTGAATTAATTTTGTTCCTTCCAGTATGTGTTCCCCTTATCAAGGGTTATTTAACTATTCACATACGTGTCTTCCAACTAAAGACAGGTCCCACTGTTACCTGCATTAAAAAAAAACAACACAACCCTAGTTTGCTCAGAAGCCAGCACCCCCAACGGAAGATGGGGGCAGGGACAACAGGCATCACAGTAAATCCGGTCATTTTAACAGCCTACCCTGCCTTTTCCCTCCAGCAATGTACAGCGGCATATGCATCTGCGTGGTCCTTGCTGTGCTCTCGGCGAGCTCGTTCGGACAGCAAACCGCGGGCTCGCGCAGTGGCAATGCGCTGGCTGCGGAGCTGGAGCAGAGCCTGGCAGAACATCACCGGCCCGGCCGCGCCCCCTCGGCCGCTGGCCCGCTGAAATCCGTGCCGCGGCTGGATGGGAGCGTTGACCAAAGAGCTAACCTCGGCGCTTTGCTGGCCAAGTATCTCCAGCAAGCCAGAAAAGGTACGGGTCATAGCCTACTTACCGTGCTGCTTCTGTGTCAGTGCAATTTCCTGCAGGGATGCTTAGATGTTAAGATAACGCTGTCATCATCTAGCATTAATTCCTAGAGAAGAGAGGATATAGATTTTGCCTGGTTATTCCTGAACTAGAGAGCATTCTCTTATTTACTGCAAATACTCCTCCCCAAAAAAAATGGTACATAGCAGCCACTGGCTGAGAGCTGCGAGCAGGTGGCTGAAGAAAATGTAACCTACCTGTCAGGTCATACTTCAGCTTTTATTTTTAACTTACTATTTTCATAGCCTTATGGTATTATTTTCAGCATGCTGTATCTCAGATGAAATACAGTATTTGCATTTTCCTCAAGCTTTTTCATTTAGTTAACTTCCTCCCTTTTTTTAAGTTAGAAGGGCAGGAAAACATTTCTGAGGATCAATACAGATGAAATGGCTAACCTCAACTCAGCCAGAAATACTTGTACCAGGGAAAATTGGATTTTCCATATATTTGTTCCCAGAGGAAGCTACAGAAGTGTGGAAGCTTTTGAAAGATCAAAATTCACTTTTATGAACACAATAACTAAAAGCAGAGATAAGTAAAAGCAGATTTGCTTCAAAACGTGTCGATTCCTGTTAGGTTTTTGGTCTCGGGCAGCCTGGGAACACAACTTTGCAGTTACTTAAAACCTCCGTGGCACTGTGTTTGTACCAAGGGCATGAAGCACCAGTAGAGTAGTAGAGTTAACGGGCTTCATTCTTACCACATGATTTATTAGTCACTTGAGGAAACAATATTATTATATAGATGAGCTAGCAAGAGAAAGGGTAAAGCTGTCCCTGTTGACATCTTACAGATGCACGCCATCTGTGCTACCAGTGAAAATGATGGATCAAAAGCACCTACCCCTGAAACTACCCCCGCAAAAACATTTTTCCTTTTGAACTGTCTCATGTCTGTATTGCTTTGTATCTCAATAGAGTAACACCACGGGCAGCCTAATCGTTGTGACCTTCTGACTGCCAGCCTCAGCAAAAGCCACTACACAAATTTTGTTTAGTTGTGATAGCTTCACTCCAGTCCATCGGCTGTACTGCAGGGAATGAGGACATCTGAGAAGCAAAGAGGGCTCGAGGGGAAGGCAGTAATTAGGATTACCTGGACATATAGACATTGAGAAATTAATTCACTCCCAGTCCCAGGCTGTGCTTAGGATAAAATTGACTTTATGTAAGTAAGAGCTTCCTCCGATCTTGTCTCTCCACACAACCTTATGCAGATCATTTAATCCTCCCCTCCTGATAGCTTCACTGCCCACCTCTGTGCTAGGCAGAATCCTATTCTTTTTTTTTTTTTTTTATGTCAGTCTGCAATTAAGAGATGCCACATGCATTTTATATCTTACGTACGCAGCCATACCCATCCATCTGCGTACATAGAACAGGGCTAAATCAGAAGCAACAGAAAAAGGACCGCTTTTGATATAGTCTGAGAGACTTCACCTCATGTTACTAATTTGCACAATTTCCATTAAGGACCTTCTTTTAGCAGTTCACATAATCTAATGAAAAGATAATTCAGATATGAAACTCCACAATTCAGTGCTACAGTTAAAGCTGCTACTGAGTAAGAATATTGTTGCAGGAGCCAGCTAAGCAGAATCCTCATTACCTTTCCCACATGTAGTCATTGTCACCCACATCAGCTCATGGAAACAACTCCTCATCCTAGTTTATGTAGTCATGATAGTCTCTTAAATTTTTGGCTGACAGTTCCAAATAGTTTAACCAGGTGAAGTGAAAAAAACAAACAAAAAAACCCCACTTTGACTTTAAGAAGTCTTTTTGCTAAGTATTAATCTGAGAGACAATTTTCTGCTTACGTGTTAACTGGCACATAGAATTAACTTTACAAAGTGCCTGTTGGCAGGTGATGGGATTCTTGTGACATGGCAAGGCTCTGGTTTGCCGATGGACTTGCCAGAAGAGTCACAGGGACAAAACAGTGTTTACTCAATTCATCACGACCCATACAGTGTTTTCCCCTCAGAACGCCGTATTCTCGTTTAACGTAAAGGTTCTGGGCAGCAGTTCAGAATCTCTGCAGAACACTCACAACTACTGTATTGGTCACTTTTAACCTAGCTAAACCATAATACTCACTAGAAAATTCCATCTGGGGGGAAAGAGTCTGGGCATTTGCTAGAAGTAGCAGTCATCACTGATGGCATTTGCCCTTGTGATTAATAGAAAGGCAGGTTTTGGCCAACGTTTCCCGTTAAACCAGTGAGAGAGTTAAATTCTCTCAAGAGGCTCAGGCTAGATGGCAGCCTCGCAGCCCGTCTGCTGCAATTTAAAATCTGTTTGCTGTACGTTGGTTTTGCAGTGCCCACAGGACATCTCTGGTTTGAGGCAAGGTAACTAAGGTGCTCTTAAGGAATTAATATTACTGTTCGTGACCCCTAGCTTTCAGTTAACTTCATCTGCAGGCTTTAAGCCAAGAAACCATTCTCATCAACTTAATTACATATTTTGAATTGTGAATGTGAATTTCATGGATTTTGAGCATTTGAATGGTAGACATTCTTTTCTAGAGATAATTAAATTTTTTGTCATTTTGTTTCAGGTAAATGTCTAAAACATGGCTAGTTTCTTTTTTTTTTTTTTTTTTGGTACCTCTAACTCTCCTACCCCTCTGCAACTACTAGCAAAACAATGCAGCTTTTGTTTTTAGTGGGTCATGTTCATTATAAATCATGACATGAAGAAAATCTGGAAATATAAAAAGCACAGAGTCAGCAAGGGTTCCTTCAAAACCCAAGAAACCATAAGCAAGGCAACTGTGTAGATTTGGATTTGTGGGGTTTTATTTGGGCCTCTTCCCCTTTTTGATCAGTTCAGGTGTTCCTGAAGCATCTGTCTGCATTGAATACGGATATATTGAACCTGCTCCTTCCTCACTCAAGATTTAAACTCAATCTAATTACTGGCAGATGTCAGTTTTGGCTGTTTTCAGGGAGGACAGAGAGAAGTAATTTATCTTTCCCTGCACTTTCAGTTACATAATGTGATGATGTCAAAACAGAGGGTTACAGCCCTTTTTTTTAAAGCATAAATTCTCCTTACAAATAGTTTGTGTCTCTTTGATGCCTTAAACAAGGAAGTCAGAAAGGTGAAGGCAAGATCAGAGATCAGCATCAAACCCTGCTGTGAAAGGAATTATGAAAGCTTTGGATAAGCAATGAAAATGTCACTGACATAGTAAAAGCAATAATTCCAGCGACAGACATCTCTAGCGATAAATTCCAGACACAACTTTCTCCATTTCAGAACTCTTCCCACTTCTCCACAAAACCCGGGATTCGTAACTCTACGCAGCTTCTCACTGAATTTGTACTGTAAGAGCTCATGTACTTGCATTTATGCCTCTTCTAGCAACACGGGACTGTGGTGGAGTCCTGTCTCAGGCCCGAGTCTGCTCTCAAGCAGCGTTGTTTTGCATCTAGAGCAACTCTCTCAATACCAGCAAGCAAGGGAGTAATCCTATAGGAAGAGTGAGAAATGGTTTGGACTTCTCTCTCTAGTGAAATAGGAAGGAAAAAAGAGAAATGCACCCATATTCCTTCCTGGCAGCCAGGAGCAGAATGCTCCTGCAGCAGGAGGGAGAAAATGGTCTGTTGATTTTACGATAAAAAAACCCCAAGCCACTTTCAGGACATTACCTGTAAGGTTTTTATGATGTTTTTCCCAGTGACATGGCAGTGGTGTTACATGGTCTGTATTAAACAGTTTCAACTACTGCACACATCTGCTAATAAGTACAAGACAGATCAGAAAATGGATGAACCTGAAAAACGTGTCCACTGACTCTGCTCTCGCAAATGCTTTTTCTTTAGGTCCTACTGGAAGGCTCTCAGTTATGGGGAACAGGGTACAGACCATCGATCCTACACACAGGATAAATGACAGAGACTACATGGGCTGGATGGATTTCGGACGCCGCAGTGCTGAAGAATACGAGTACTCTTCCTAAAGAACAGCAAACTATAGCAACAGAAAAAAAATCACACTCCCATGTCTGTACAGAAAGAGAAAAATTAATTCGTTGTCCTCTTTGAATCAGTGTTTTAAGATATATCATGTATTTGATGTAAATTTGTCTGTAAGACTATACAATGCAATATCTACATATGCAGAATTTTCCAGAAAATGTTTTCTTTCTTTTGTGGTTTCTCATACATTGATATTATATTAAAATGATTTAACTTATCCCTTTTTGTCCTGTCACCGCATGTCACTGGGTGTCTTACTATAAGGAGAGGCAGGAAAATGCCTTCATTCTGCAATGTAAATATATTCTATGTGACGAGTAGTCAAGACAAATGAGCCGCTTTTCTGAAAACTCGTGTCAGTCCCAATAGCTGTGAACTCTTAAGGGGAACTTGTCCAAATACAAACAGAACGGCACAGTACTGCCAGAAAAGGCCAGCTGTCTTCAGAGTGACCCCGTTTGTAGAGGGCCGAGTTACCCACCAAGCCCGCACCTTTGTGGTGAATAAACAGTCCTAAAACTAAAAGAGGAGCACCACCACCCCACTTCATCTTCCCGGCTTATTTATTTTATGTTGTGAACTAAATGTGAAAGTTCTGCTGACGGCTGCGAGTCACGGAATAAACAGAGCATTCCCTGCCGTGTGGTGAGCCAAGCGTTCATTTGGGGAGGGGGCGAGGCCAGGTCCCTGCACCGAGCAGAAGGTCTTCCTGAGGGGGAGGAGGTGTCAGAGCACCCTGGTCCCCCGTGTCCTAAAAGGAATCGGGTCGCTCCCGAGTATCGCCGAGGCAGCCCGAGTCAGCTGCCGCCCACCGGCGTGGGGAAGAGGAGGAGGAAGGGAGGTCGTGCCCAGCCCTCGCCTGGCACGAAGCGAGGCAGAGCACCCCAGGCTCGCAGCGGGGGAGTCACCCCAGCTTGTGCAAAACCAGCACCCCGGGGACCGTCCAGCACCCCCCCTCACAGTCACGCCGGCGCGCAGGCTGCTAAAAGCCCTTCCCGCCGCGGGTAACCCCTCCTGTGGCTCCTGGGTCTGCTGCAGCAGCTGGTTCTCGCACCTCAGGAGTTCCCTAAACTGCAAAGAGGAGGTGATTTCGCATTGCCTAATTCACAGAATTTCTCCCCAATATGTGCACTAGTAAGAAAAGGAAAGCGTTTGTCACGCGCTGGAAAGCAGGTGCTCGCCAAAGGAAAGGGGCAGGTGGACATCTCAGCAGCGATTTCCACAGCAGCTAATAGGCAAAAACCCTGCATTGAAAATAACACAGAGACAATATTTGTACTAAAACAAAATTCTGCCAAAACCAAGAAGATTGGGGGGGGAAAAAAAATGAAATGGTTACACGAAGGGCTGAATGCAAAAACATTTTGAGGAGTTGATCCTAACAGCAGCTGGGAGAGCAGACAGCACTGCAGGAATCGGCAATTAAAGGGAGACTTCAGCCAGTGGTAACAGGGCATGTTCTTCTGCAGTGAACACCGGACCTTTTTGTGGATCTTGCCTTGAAAACATGGAACTGCTTTTCTGTGTGAACTTTTCTTCCTCTCAAGCTCCCTCCAGTCAATCAGTTTCCAAGCCACCTAGTCTAGCTTTTTTTTTAGTTCCTTTCCAAAATTAATGAGTCCCTAAATACCTGAAACCTCACCTTAATAATTTTGACTATTTCTCCCAGGAAAACAGTCCAAAGTGCCCATTTTTCCAGAACTTTCAAACAAGAGAATAAAACCAATTAATCTATATTTTTCAAATTGATGAAAATACAAATTAACCTAAAAATGCATAGATTAAAACATTTCCCACCAAAGTGATGTTTCTTTAAGAGTAACTTTGGAGAAGAGTAAGTTTCTACTTTGCTGTCTTTTAAATTAATGAGGAGAATGTTCAGACAACATTGTAAAAAGTTTCTCTCTCTGGCTTATTTAATGAAGGGTGTAATATGGTAATATTGCAGGGGGGCTGGGGGTGGGTGACGTTACAAATCTAGCCTTATTACTGCGGACTGTTGCCATTAGGAAAGAAGACAAACCTTCTGTTTGTTTGGTTTTTTCTCCTCTGTCTCATTTCCTCCAGGCAGGGGAATGGAGGGACAGAGATGTTTCCTCCCGTTCCTCTCTCTCCCGAAGGCCCCTGCAGGTGCCTATGGAAGCGCGAGGCCCTCAGTGCAGCCGGGTGATGGTTTTCAGGGCTTTTACAAGTCGCTCCCCCAAGACTGGGGCATCTTTTCATCGCCTGCCACACTTAAAATGGTTTCACCACCTGGCTGCTCACAAGGCTCCCAGGGAAGAGGAGCCCCACGGCCCCATCCTTTGAGGTGCAAAACTGCCCCGTGAGTGAGACCGAGGTCCCTGGGGCGGCGTGGGGGGCCTGGCTGCCCTGGCTGTTATCAGGGTTGGGCCTTTCTGTATCCCCAGCAGGTGAATAACTTCCAAGGCATCACTCTCAGGCACAAAATAATGCTCAGCCGCCACCACCACTGCCTTCGACCAAGCACTTGTTCGTTTCAAATCACAAAAATGCCAGTTACAGAAAAAGCAGTTTCACCTGTGAAATATGCTTTCTCCTTGTGACACAATTGCAAGCAGAGTTAGTCTGATTTTGAAAATGATTAAGTGCTATTTTTCTTTGCCAGCCCACCACCAGCGTGATATTTGTAAGTAATCACATCTGCCACCGTTCCTGGGTGCCGGAGAGCTTCAGACAAAACTTGGTCTAATTTTTTTTACAGTCACTGCACATGCCGGTTTTAATATTTAAGGTGTACCAGTGCTGTAAAATAGATAAGGGGAATAAAGGGACTTGCAGTGACTCACCTGGCATCCAAATTAGTATTGAAAACATACATAATTTAATATCTTCTTTTTTTTTTTTTCCCTCCTATCTCCAGACTGAAGGCCTTAGCCAGTCAGTACAGGTAAATGAGGGCTCTCTTCTGACCGGGCATTGAAATAACTGCCAAATGAACGTGTGCTTTACAGCTGGCCTGATCCTACCACTGTTTGCTACGTTTGCAGATGCTGCTTGGGTCCACCCATCCCTCAGTCCTTTAGCAGAAAATAGTTAAACCTCAGCTGGATTTCAGGTGGGTGTTGAATTGCCCAGCCCTGACAAATCCCTGTGGAGACGCACCCCAAGGCATCACCAAGCTGCACCACCACAGCCCCGCTCAGGTGCAGCACCCGCCCGGAGTGGGAGCACTGGGCAGAGCAGGGAACCAATTCAGGACCTATCGGCCTAAATTCTGCCAGAGCCCCTCTTTACCACCTAAACCCCAGCTCAGGACTCGTGATTTTTTTCAGGTGCCGCTAAGGTACAAACGTGTAGCTGCAGGGGACTTCTCCATTCTTAACACTCACAGGAGTCCTGGCTTGGGGGCAATTGCAGTAATCATCAAGGTAAGAGGACCTGTTGCTCAAGGACACAGCGCTGTTCCTTAAGGACCAAGGGGAGCTGGCTATAAGTGGCTTAGCAACATCCTCCTCATCCTCCTCAAAACATCCATCACCTGCTCCTCTGGGAGCAGAAGAAATTCCCCAGATGGGAAAGGGTTGTAAAGGCTGTTGAGGCACCATTCAGATTCTGGCTGACCTGGAGGTGCTAATCAGAGCGGCCAGCAAATTTGGGAAAGTCGAGCTGCAGTGCTCATCCCAGGGCAGTAGTGAAGGCACACTCCAGGCTGCTCTGTTTTAACCTGAGGGAAACAGCAGCCTTGGGGATGGAGCCCCTGCAGCTGGGTATGAGACCCACGGGTCCAGCAAGGGCTTTGGGCTGAGAAATGCCCCACAGATTTCAACACAGACAGCAGCACATCGGCACAACCACCCGGTGCTCGCCCAGGAGGCGAGTTTCCTGGCACTGCCAACTCTGTGACATTTAATTTAGCTTTACTCAAATGCATCTTTATGGAAGCACATGCATAGGGACTAAGTTAACACTGGCAAAAGAGCAAAGTGATACCTTTTTGCCTTTAAAGAGTTTGCTTTCTGCATATGCTTGATTCAATTAGTTCTGTCCCAGCTTTACTAACTTAATTTCAAAACAGGTGCTGGGCAAATCTCCGCGAACAGAGCAGGTTAATGCAAACTCCACGTAAATGAGCAGGGGAGAGCCTGTGGCTCTGCTCTTGCAGGGCCAAAAGTGCTCCTCCTGGGGGCGAGGAGACCCAGGCAGCCCCCCCGAGAGCGAGGGAGCACCCCCGCCCTGGGAAGGGGCAGCACACCTGATCCTGAACAGCCTCATCCGCCCTTGTATTTCATAGAGGAAGGTGCGTGGATGCTGCTCTGCTCCCCCACGCTTTGCTGCAGCACCAGCCCCTCCATCCTCACCGCACGTGGGGCAGCAGCTGGGCTGGGCCAGGGACACGTCGCAGCCAGATGTTCCCAGCTGCAGCCCGGCTCCGCGCGTTTCAGCGAGCTCAAGCGCAAACCAGGCGGTTCCTCTCCACGGCCCGTGTGGAGGGATTTGCAGGTCAGACAAAATGCAAACGTTACGATGCCCTAGCAGAGCAGCAAACGGCTTTTCTGTGTGTTTGATTTTTGCATCTCCCAGGTTCTTTAAAATTCTCTTAAAGAAAGAATGAATTCTGGCAATGGGCTTGTTAAAGCTTTAATCATTCTTAAATGCCTGTGTCAACTGAGCTGCAATTGGATTCAGCACAGCATGAAACCTATTTCAGCAGGAGAAAGAACTATAATCTTTTAAATACAAACATTATTAGCTTATTGAATATATGCCATTCTCACATGAAAGCCCACTATCTACATTGCAGCTAAGGACATTGCTAAACACCAGTAACTTTCAGGCCTTTTATTATATTCCTGGCTATTCTGTGGTCTCAATTGTCTTGTTAGCTGAATTAAAGCAGGTCTGAACAGCGCCCAGCGAGATGTCATAGCACAGCTCAGCAATGCTAATTCTTCAACGTGAATACGAGCTACAGGCAGGAGATCCTGTCTGTACCAAAGGAAGGCAGGACACATCTCACTGACATTGCTGGACTTTTCAATTTGATGAGGAGAGCTGCCAACAAAAGTGTTCAGCAAGACAGGAGCAACCTCTGTGCACTACATTATGTTGTGGGGCCATCCAGCGCTTCGGAGACATGCAAAAGGGGGGGAAGAGTCTCACAAGGCTGAAATACTGGTCTTGGCTCTCCACAGAACATCCTGTGTGTTCACAGCTCAGCCTTAGACACACAGTCCTCAGCACCTCACCCTCCTCTCACTTCCAACCCAGCTTTCAGAGGTGCATGACCATGTTCCTTGCTCTAGTATGGTGAGGATGCATCCAGTCAAATTTCTGAGATACCTGGATATGGCAAGGATGGAGGAACATTTCAGAGAAGAGGCACCGATCCATCAGCCATCCAGCCTTCAGAGGTTTAGTTTGTGCAGTAGTTCTGTTCTGCTTTGAAATTGTCTCAGTGCATTAAATATGTCAGCTGAGTTTCCAGGTAGCTCATGCAGTCTTTGTTACCCTGTGACATAATTTGCTGTACTGAAGGAGAAACTAAGATACTTTCCAAATACCAGCATTGTTTCCAGAAGCAGAAACTGGGTGTTTCCTCCAAAACCCACTGCAATGTCTAGGATGAAACATCTCACAGGGAACGGTCCTGCACCCCAGCAGACTTCCTACCCCCGCAC